CCTGGGTGCTGTCCCTCAGCTCTTCAGCTCAAGGCTAGCACTCTACCACTTGAGCCACAGCACCACTTCCAGCTTTTTCTTTTTGCTTATGTGGTGCTGAGGAATCGAACCCAGGGCCTTGAGCATGCAAGGCAAGCGCTCTACCACTGAGCCACCTTCCCAGCCCCTCAAGCCCTCAGTTTAAACTCCAGAACAACCGCAAAAAATTATATGATTAGCAGGGTGCTGGTGGTGGCTCAAGCCTATAATCCTAGCTATTCAGGAGGCTGAGATCTGAGGATTGCAGTTCAAAGCCAGCCCGGGCAGGAAAGTTTGTGAGACTCTTACCTCCAATAAACCACTAAAAAACCGGAAGTGGCCCTGTGGCTCAAGTAGTAGAGCACCCGCCTTGAGCAGAAGAGCACAGGGACAGGGCCCAGGCCCAGAGTTCAAGCCCCATGACTGACCAAAAAACAAACAAAAAAAATATATGATTAACTCAGACCTCTCCCCTAAATCAGACACATATCCAATTCCTCACTGATAATCTCCACTCAGATGACTTAGAGGTATTTCAAATTTTTAGTGTCTTCAGGTGTATAACAACATATCACAGACATAATTTATGAAAAACACAATTTCCCACAATCATGGAGGCTGGAATTCCAAGTGCTGGCATATTTGTTGTCTGCTGATGGCCAGTTTTTTTTTTGTAAGTTGTAGGGCTTGAACTCAGGACCTGGGTGTTGTCCCTGAGCCTTTTCTTCTCAAGGCTAGGATTCTAGCCCTTGGGCCATAGCTACATTCCGGCTTTTTGATGGTTAACTGGAAGTAAGAGTCTCATGGACCTTCCTTCCTGGGCTAAATGTGGATCTTCAGTTATCAGCTTCTTGAGTGGCTAAGATTACAGGCGTGAGCCACCCACACCAGGCTCTATGTGTGTGTGGGGTGTGTGTGTTGGTCGTGGGGCCTGAACTCTGGGCCTGGGCGCTGTCCCTGCGCTCTGCAGCTCAAGGCAAATGCTCTACCACTTCAGCCACAGCGCCGCTTCCGGCTTCCTGGTGGTTTATTGGAGATAAGAGTCTCACGGACTTTCCTGCCCGGGCTGGCTTTGAACCGCCATCCTCAGATCTCATCCTCCCGAGTAGCTAGGATGACAGGCATGCTTTTATTTTTGTTCTTTTTTAAAGCCTCAACTTTCGGCCTCACGGATCATCGTTGTGGTTTTTTTGTTATCAACTCTCTCTTGTGGAAACTTGAGACAGTAGAGTCATCTCCTTATTTCTTGACTGGAAATTCCATCAGGCAGAAATGCTCTCCCGTTTTTCACTCGTTTGCAGGGTCTGCCAGGGCCTCAGTGATCCCAGGGAATAAATTCGTAGCAAGGGAAATGTTTCCCAATTGCAGACTGAGAGCGTTTGTGCAGGTTTCTCCAGCGAGGCCCTGCAGACATTCGCGCTGCTAAACCAGGCTGGTTTAACCCAGGTTGCCAGGAGGGGAGGAGTCCCGACTTCCGGGTGAACAAAGTTTTCCTTGGGGGCCGGCTATTCTCCGCCCCACCCCGGCCAGAGGCCGCTCCGCAGACTAGGCCTCGGTCGCCGGCGCCGCCCGCGCGCGCTCCTCCACGCCAACCACCCTCCTCCCCCGGCAGCGGCGGTTGGTCGCGCGCGCTCGTCTCTCTCCCACCCTCTCCGCTAACGAGCGGGCTCCAGGTCCTCTGGGATTGGCTGTTTCTGAGTGTGTCTTCTCTAAGCATCTCTGATTGGTTTGCTTGCGCGCGCGGGAGCCAAGCTCCGATTGGCTATATCAGAGCGCCTGCGCGGCGGGGTTCTCGGTCGCCAGCCATTCCTGGGGAGGACTGCCGGTCGGTAGGTCGTTTCGTTTGTCGCTGGAGGAGAGGTCCCGGCCCTCCGGGAAGGCGGCTGCGGCGGCAAAATGAAGATATTCGTAGGTAACGTAGATGGAGCGGATACAACGCCCGAGGAGCTGGCTGCCCTCTTCGCGCCCTACGGCACGGTTATGAGCTGCGCCGTCATGAAACAGTTCGCCTTCGTGCACATGCGCGAGAACGCAGGCGCGCTGCGCGCCATCGAGGCCTTGCATGGCCACGAGCTGCGGCCGGGGCGCGCACTCGTGGTGGAGATGTCGCGCCCAAGGCCCTTGAACACTTGGAAGATTTTCGTGGGCAATGTGTCGGCTGCATGTACAAGCCAAGAATTGCGCAGTCTTTTCGAGCGCCGTGGACGCGTCATCGAGTGTGACGTGGTGAAAGGTAACGCGGAGGCGCGCTCTGGGGCGGGGGCGCGCTTGGGGAGGGGCACTCAGCCTGCTAGCCACGCCCCTTAACCGGGGTCGGTCACTGCGCGGTTGGGAAGGGTGGGGAAGTGCGCGGGAGCGGTGCCAGAGGTGCTGGGGGGCGCGTTGGGGAGAGCCACCCTCTTCCCCTGCGGTCCAGGCACCATTCAAGTGGGAGAAGGCGGATCTGGGTGGGTGCGGCGGCCACTTGAGAGCTGAGCCACGGGGCCGGGGACGCGCCAGAGACTTGAGTGTACCGGGGGCGTGCCTTCTTCTGATTTCCTGGGCCTGGTACCGAACGGAAATTGGGAAGTGACGGGCACGAGCCGGATCATGGAGCGGGGAAGATTTCTCCACTTCTCCACTTCCTCTCCAGACGTCGGTCAGAGCAAGGGAAGAGGGAAAAGGTGTGGGCAGACGCCCCAAAGCCTCCCTCGCGTTCCCTCCCGATGAATACTCCCAAGCGGAAGGTAACGGGGCCCTTGGACGTTTCTTGGGCTGGGATCTTTTACTACTGTCTGGCATAGGTTTGCTCACGGGCGCAGGAGGGGCCCCTTCCAAACTCCTTTGGTATTCAATATTTGATGGGTTTAGACGTGGCAGCTCTGTGTTTTCCAACCCTCTTAAGTCTGGGATTTTTTTTCCCCCTTTGGGCTTGATTTTTCCTCCCCATTAATTGGAAACCTGAGTCTTTGTGTGTGTGTGTGTGTGTGTGTGTATTGTTGGAGGCTTGTTTTATGAAGGCCCCCACTGTGGGTAGTATTTATTTGCCAAGCTGGTGTCCCAGGGCAGTGTCAGTCTTTTCTAAGCTTGGTGACTTTGCAGAGCACAACTCTGGGCTTAGGGGGACCTTGGAAGAAATCTAAGAGAGGTTTTATTTAAACTTTGTAGGTTTATTTTTTGTTGTTGTTGTTGTTTTCCTTTTAAACTTTGGGGGCTTCTAGATTAGGAGTCTAAACACCATTTGCTCAGAATTCATCATTAGTCAAATTCTCAAGGCAGATTGCCTTATCTTTGAGAAAATGTGTCACCATAATTTAGGCTTGAATTTTGGGACCCAGTTGATGTGTCTGTTTTTTTTCCCCCCCATGGTCTGGGTTCTTTTTTGGGGGGGGGTCATCATGGGCCTGAACTCTGCCTGGACACTGTCCCTCAGCTGTCAAGGGTAGCATCTACCACTTGAGCCACAGCACCACTTCCAGCTTTTTTTGCTTATGTGGTGCTGAAGAATCGAGCCCAGGACCTCTCATGCATGCAAGGCAAGCACTGTACCACTGAGCCACCTTCCCAACCCCTGTTCTGGGTTCTTAAACCTAAGCTCATACTCAGATCTTTGATGGCATATCCTAGACACTCTTCCTCCTGGAACCAGATCAGAGTAAACTTTGCTATATCCCATGTTTTCAAAACAAATGCAAGTGGAGAGCAATCTATGTGGTGCTATACCCCTGGTGTAGGGCATCATTCTCGCTCATACTCTGGGAAAATTGGAAGATAGGATACAAATGTGGGTGCAGAGGTGCTTGTTCATATAGTTGTAGAGAGGCACATCTTTTGGGCCATTCCTTGTTCTTTATGTGTAAAGGGTTGTAGTGTCCAGTATTAGGAACAAGTGTTTGTTCTGCATTAATATTGCATTCTATTTTCCTCAACTCAGGTTATGCAAGTCCACGGCTATCCGGAATCAGGCTTTCCTGCTGGGTGCTCTGAGGCAGGCTGTATGGATTTTTGCTTTTAGAGCAAAAGAATTAGAAGGGTTTCAGATTGGATACTTGGCAAGCAATGGATGGGGTGGATGAATCTCTATGTGAATTTTGAGTTTCTTTTATGGGTCTTATGCAGTGTCGCTTCCAGATTGGGAGCTATAATCTAGTATCTTGGGACAGTCTCCATGGAACTCAAATGGTTAAGAAGTTTGCTCTCAGGTGATAGAGAAAGCAAAAAATTTGCCTAAATTTGCTTGAGATTGACACCAAATAGAAGTTGGGGGGGCGAAGTACGTGATAATTGAACATGATTTTTAGAACAACTGGCTGTGACTGAGAGGGAAAGTTTTTTTGTATTTTGTCCTTTTGTAAACAAATATTTATTAGTAGAAATATGTTGACTAACTCAAGGGAGGATGCTAACCTATTATTTTAGGCTGATGTGTAACAGACTTCCTGATGTATTTTAAGAGACTGGGGAAGGAAGGCTTTTGATCATCGTATCTGCTGAGCATCATCTTTCACTGATGCCTTTCTCTTTGAGCTGAAAGAAAATGAGGTCTCAAAGTGAAAAAAACTTACTCTGGTTCTATAAATAGTTTGTATTTATACTTTTTTTGAGTCTCCTAATATTGGCCATCAGGTCTTTGAGAAGCTTTGTATAGCACAAGACAGTTAGCTCTCTTATTTCACAGGGGTAAAAGAACATAGTTGCTTGGATATTCCAGGAGCTTATGTATGATTTGTAGAGTAAGATTCTCCATAGCAATAGTCATAACCACTCTTTTTTTTTGGCCAGTCCTGGGGCTTGAACTTAGGATTTGGGCACTGTCTCTTGAGTTTCTTTTGCTTGAGCTAGCACTCTTACTAGTTGAGGCACAATACCACTGTCATGTTTTTCTGTGTATGTGGTGTTAAGGAATTGAACACAGGGCTTCATGCATGCTAGTCAAGCACTCTACCACTAAGCCACATTCCCAGCCCCATAGCCACTCTGTAACTACATCCTATTGAGTGTTCAAAGACACGCTTCAGGAACCACTTCCATACTTCAAGGAGGTCTGAAAGTCAGAAGGAAATATTGTCTTTCTTTGTGGGTAGCCATTCTTTAGAGCTCTATAGTTTCAAATGAAAGATTTTTAGCCTTGGGGTAGGAAAACTTGTTTTCTAGAGTTTCATGGATCATTAGGAGGTCTCTGCAAAGCATTACTTGCTAATCTTAATGCAGTGAATCCCTGTAGAAGTTTCCTTGAATTAGCTCTGTGGTCCAGTGGGTCCCTGCACACTTCTGCAGATCTCTGGTCTTCATTGTTTTAGAACTAATTGGTTTTCTGGGCATCTTTGATAAGTATAAGTTTGGGCTCGGTGCCGTACTGTAATGAGGCTGAGTTAAGACGTGATGAAATTGAATTATTAGCTGGACATCTTTGTCATACTTCCAATGTCAGGTTAGAAACTTCCAAATGTAATATGACTATGAGCATATCAATGGCTTTCCCCATCAAGTTTTTTTTTTGGTCTGTTGTGGGGCTTGAACTCTTCCCTCAGCCCTTCAGCTTAAGGTACGCACTCTAACATTTGAGTCACAGCACCTCTTCAGGTTTTCTGGTGGTTAATTGGATATGGACTTTCCTGCTCAGGCTGGCTTTGAACCATGATCCTCAGATCTCAGTTTTTTGTTTTTGTTTTTTTTTACTATTGTGGAAATACCATACAGAGGGTTTTACTGTTTTTTTTTTTGTCAGTCGTGGGCCTGAACTCTGGGCCTGGGTGCTGTCCCTCACCTCTTTAGCTCAAGAATAGCCCTCTACCACTTGAGTTACAGTGTTACAGTGCCACTTCCGGCTTTTTCTGCTTATGTGGTGCTGAGGAATCGAACCCAGGGCCTCATGCAGGCACTACCACTGAGCCACCTTCCCAGCCCAGATCTCAGTCTTCTGAGTAATTAGGATTAGAGGCGTGAGCCACTGGTGCCTGGCTCCCTATAAACTTTTTTTTTTTTTTTTT